CATTGTTAACTTTTATAAAGATCATTTAGAAGTTGATTATCTGCAAGCAGAGCTTTTTTCATAGTGAGGTGATGTGAAAAGAGTTAATAATGAGCTACTGGCTTTTCATCCAAACATTTTCCACTATTCAGGAAATGTCCAATAATCCAAACAGTGGTAACTGCTGAACAGCATTATGGCCAGTGAGTGGTTTAACTTACCAGCTACTGCCACTACTCTTTACACATATTTAACCTATGATTCCTCTCCAACTCAGTTTTTTGTCTGTTTGTATTTAGTTGTTTTTGTGCAAAATCTGAATACAGTAGTTTACTAACTATTCAAGTTGTACCATTTTCATTTTACCAAATAAGCAGTTTCTAGAGCAGAAATGATGAAATGAGGTTTGCATATCCTCTAAAAAGACAAGAATGAAACTTGAAGTAACAGAGAACTTTCACAAGTTACAATTTCATATACATGTTGGTGAAATATACATTGCTGATTCCAGGAAGAGACTTTTAAAAAAATGCATAGATATTTCTAAATTATAATATTTAGATTGCTTGTGTGTGCTATATTTATGCCCATTTTGCAAAACAACAGGAGAGATCTGAAATTGGACTGCTTTCCTTTACTGATTCCTCATCAGTCATTATATTCTCTATGCTCTTCTTACCAGTCTCTTTCAGATTTGGAAACTTCTCAATTCAGAGTCCATTTGTAACCTGGGGGCTCATCACCATACTTATCCATTCACACTACTGTAGAGCTTATCTTTCTATATTCAATCTGAACCCAACTTCCTGTCTACCCTTTTAATACATCATTTTCATTATATCTGTTTTTAGTCAAATTCTTTGGTGGTTCTTTGTTGCCTTTAAGATAAAATCCAAAATTCTCAACTGACTGCCCTAATCCAACACTCTCTCTCTATCTCCTGCTACTCCTACGTCAGTTTCTTATTGCTGTTGTAACAACTTGCCACAGATTACCAGCTTGAAACAACATAAATGAACTATTGTATAGTTCTGTAGGTCAGAAGTCTCATTGGGCTAGAATCAAGATGTCATCAGAGCTGCATTTCTTCTGGAGGTTGTAGGGGAAAATGAGCTTCCTTGTTTTCACCTGCATTCTTGGCCTGTGGCCCCTTTCTCCATCTTCAACCCAACGGGGTAGAATCCTCAGATCTTCCCATGACTGTGCTTTATCATCACATCTCTTTCTCTGACTCTGAACCTACTACCGTCCTAAGGATCCTTGTAATTACAATGTGCCTACCAGAATAATCTCCTCATCTCAACATCTTTAATTACATCTTCCAAGCCTCATTTACCATCTAAGATAACATATTCACAGGTTCCAGGCATTAGGTCATGGATACCTTTGGGAGACCATTATTCTGCCTACCACAACCTTTAAGCATAAACTGTCCGTTATAGCCACTTTTCTTTACTGTCTGCATAATCCTCATGTTCATTCTGCCACTGAAGAATGATCTTGTTTTATGCATCAAGAAAAGAACTCCACCTTTTCTTCCTACCTCCCTCTGACATCTAAACAAACACTCTACAGCTTTCAAAGCTGAGTTTACATCAGAACAACAAACCAGCAGCATCCCTATAAACTTCCCATTAGATTTAGAGTGTCTCATATTAGCTCCTTACAATATTTACTAAAAATGATTCCTCAAAAGATGTTCTTCCTATGTCTAAACAAAATATTGTTATTTTATGTATGTCGAAGTCCCAGCATAAACTAATGGCATGTATAAAGGATTTAACTGAAGATAGTTTCATAAAGTGACAGTTTAGAGAGGCCTTAAAGGAACAAGAAAAGAGGGTGGAGCATCTAGCACAAGCCACAGTGGGGAAAAAAAGAACCTGAAGCAAGAGTGAGAAGAAAATCCATGACCATTCCTAGGCCTGAGATGGTGGCAGTGTTAGTTTGATTATGAACTCTAGCTGTGGGGGGTGGCCATTAGACTGGAGTTGCGGTCATAAAAAGAGAATGCAGTCAGCTAGTGACAAAACTGAAGCCCAGCAGAGAAAGAGTAGGGAAAATAAATATACCCCCTTTCCTCCTATCTGATGTCTTGCTCAGCCCTCCCATTGGCCATATCCAAATGGCAAGATCCAGCCTTCCAGAGGACAAAGGGCAAGACAGTCAATAACAGAGTAACTAGCACAACTTAACCCCGAAATGTATTATGTGCAAGGCATTGTGCCAAGAGCTTTGCATTTATTATTTCATTTTAATCTAAAAATGAAGTTTACTAATTGATCACAGTCACAGATTTTGTTCTTTTTCTACCCTCACTGTTCCGCTTGATTAGCCTTGAAAAAAAGAAAAGCAAAAAATTAAAAATTTATAACTATTATCCATATTTTAGAGACAAAGAATAAAAATACAGTACTAAGAAGTTAATTTCACTTGTCCAAAGTTGAAGAACTAATGACAAATCTACTCAATTCATATCTCTGACCTCAAATTTAATGCTCTAAAATAATATGCTATATAGGCTGCCTAAAGATAAGTTCATTCTCCCTTGCTCATCCCTCTAAATGTGAAATCCAAACATAATTGTTTAAAATACTTGGATAATGACCACATTAATCATACAAGTCAATCTTTTAATTCCATGATTTTTAGTTGTACTGAAGTAAGTGTAACTCAAATAAGACTCCTATCTCTGGTTATTAAGAATATAAACATAGAATTACCCCTAATTAAGCTATATGTCCCTTTCCTGGAAATATTTTGGTTGGCCTAGAAGCAAGGGTCTTCTTTTATGACTTTTCTCATAGGCAAGATTTCCTATTCAAAATGAAGTCCAGTGAGGAGATGGGAGATGGCTGAATATGGGGAGAAAGTCAGCCACCTATTCAAAACAGAGAATGACTCCCAATAGCAGACAATGTATTGTCAGGAATTGCCGAAAATGGTGAAAATTGTCTTATTTACTGTGATGTTTGTAAAGGCAGCAATGAATTCATGGGATTTTTGTTTGTTTAGTAAATAGGCAATGAGAGTAACCACAAAACACATATATATGCTACACTAATTTACCTATTTCTCTTCCTTCCTGTCATAACACTTATCCAGGTGTTTTGAAGCATGAGCTCTTGGGCCACAGCTTGTCACTGATATTCTGACTACAGTAGATGGATGCTCCTCCAACATGTTCCTCCACTTTCAACCCAATAAACTTCTCACTAGATTTAGAACTTGCTGAATTTCCACATCTCTTAACACATTTTAATAAAGTAGCTCATGTTTAAAACACATTTAGAAAAGCTGGGGACCAAAATGCTATTCTTTACCTACACTAGTCTTCTGTTGTATGAAATATAAAACAGTGTACTTGAATTTATGTTAAGAAACTGAGATGAGGATATTCTGAAACTGTTGCCACGGTGCTAGAGTCAAAATAGATTGCCTATTCAGAGCAGTCTGTGACTGGAGAATTGTATTCGCCTTCAAAGCAAGTACAGTAGAGTATCAAGAAATGCAAATGACTGCATGAATTTCTATCTTCAAGATTATTCAGCTCCTTTCAGCTCCTTTATTGTGCCAGCTACTCTAAAGTCTTCTTGGAGACTTTGCATAAGTAGTCACTACCACTGCTACTGATCTCAATTCCTGAATAAATGTCATTTCCAAGAGACACCCTGAAGTAGAGTGGACCCTCCTTCAGGGCATGTATATCCTAGCACCTTTGCTTCTATTATATAATACACGGTGGTATTATAATTCACTATCTAATTGTCTTTCCAGCTTACTGTATGCTCTGTGAGGGTAGAATCTTTGTTTATTAACCATAGCACATAGAAATAATAGGTGCTTTTTAACTGAATGAGTCACAGATTATCTCCTTTTATTATACCTCTGCCTGAAATATTTCTGTCAACCCAAATTTATAAATAATAGAATGGATGGACAGATGCATCATTATTTTATGCACCACTAAGAAAGACAAGCCACTCCCAATCTAATTATAATTGCTAGATTGTTACATAGTTTCTAGTTTCAGAGATGTTGAAATTGGGAAAATGTGCGTCTGAAAATTACAACCAATAATATACAGTGTACCTACATGACAATTTTCTATATTTCTTTGGACATTTAAAAATTGTGTCATAAGGTTTCAAAGAGGCTAATATGTGAAACCTCACCTAGATATAAAGATATAACATTGCTCCTCTTAGTCCTTTTCAAGTGCCATTTTTATATCTGATTTAGGGGATAATTGCTCCTCTGGCACCAACAGCCTCACCAGATCCCAAAAACAGAGTTCCCTCCAAATACTCTATCTTTAGAAGAAAGCTTCAGGAGAAAGGTGACAATAAAGTAATCAAATAATGTTCTAGTTGCACAGGATTAATGACTCTAGCTTTGGCAAACTCTTAACTTTTTGTCATGTTGCTGGTAAGCTCCAGGGCTATGTATATAGGAAGGAGACTAACTTTAATAAAAACTTTCCTGTGATTTAAAAGAAATATAAAAAAAGTCAACTAAGTTTTAAAAGGAAATTAAAATGCATATGCTGGTTAGTGTTAAGAATTCACTTTATGTGTTAAAAAAAATCAGTTTCATCCCAACAGGAGATCCCTATTAACAAGACAAGTGACAGATCTGAATTGAAAACTCATTGTAATTCAAATATGCAAAGGAATGGAAACACATACTCTTTTTATATGAATTATGTGAGATCTCCTAAAATAAATGCAAATTCTTACATCTAAGTATAGCACCTAAATCACTTTAAAACATCAATAGTTAAGATGGTTTATATATTTTGTAAAACACATATCTTTATTATAGGTTAAATGGACTTTTGAAATTACTTTATTAGACTTTTATTTTACCAAATACTGAAATCTAAAAATAGATAGGTACTGGCCCGTCCTTAAAATATCTGTTATACATTTTACTTGTAATAGTTTTGGTGAAATGATCTTATGCTGTATAAGAATACATGCAAATAGAACTACACACACACACATATACACACACTTCTGTTGATAGGATTTTGTTTATTTAGCAGAAGATTTTGTATTGTTTTGTGACAATTGCAAGTAAGTATTTTCCATCATGGGAAATGTAGATAGTAAGTGAGTACAAGTTCCTTAAAACAAAACAAAACAAAAACAAAAAAACCCACTCACTTTCCCTTTTATCTTTTACCCTTTTGTCTATATTAGCTAACTGGTCCTCCCAGTCATCCACTTAGCTTTGCTGGTGGAGGTCACATGGGAACCTTTCTTTGCACAATCTGAGGTTTGCACATTCTCTCTAAATAACTGATTGCATTTATCACTAGATATTTATAATTGGAGCTCTGGCTTCCTATTTTGTAAAGTTCACTTTCCAAACCATGCATGATAAAACTAATTGCCATTATGTGTTATTTTAAAACAGTTTAAGAACTTTTCCTGCAGAAGATGTATTTTAAATTGCTCTCAAATATTGAAATAGGCTTATATAAACTTACCTTAAGAGTAAACTTCTTTTTAAATTTTTAGTAACATTATAAAACAAAATGTGATTTCCTAATTTTAGGATGTCAGTTACAGGCAAGTTAAAAACTCTGAATTAAAGAAAAATTAATAACCACTAATTTTTGCATACTAAAAATATAAGTATGTGTCACCTGTTATGCTGTGTTCCAGGAATACAAAGACAGATAAAAGGTAGTCAGTCTCTGCCTTTACTGGTGGAATAGCAGTTTTTAAACTACCCATTATTTAGTGAAATACAGTCAATAACAATATAAGTGCTCTAAGAAGTATCTGGAAATGTCTGTAAAAATGTTAAAATAGCTGTCATACTTTAGACTCATGTAGCTCACAGGTGGAAGAGGCAGTATTCATGGAAAGAAGCAATGGTGGGAGAGGTTCCCAAAGTGCTTTATACAGAGTAACGAAATGATTAGGTTTGTGTGGCAGGAAAGTAAGCCTTTCAAAATAAAACGCAAGATGAAAACAAGAAAATTTATACAGCCCCAACTATTTAAGGGTCTCATGCTAAGCAGACGGTATTAAAACAAGATTTTCACCTTTCAGGAGCCTATAATTCTATTTTATGTCATACAAACCATTTCATTCATATTATTATAATAGGAAAGATAGTAATTCAACTCACCAATGAGGTGCATGAACCATTTCATTCAGTAGAGCTGACCTAAGGTTTCTCTGAAATGGAGGTGAAAAATAAATAAATGTACCCAAAAGACTATCCATCAGTCAACTCTACCAAACCAGTTATTTTTCCAAGGCTAAATAATCATGATCATGTTAAAATGGCTCTTGTCCCTTGTTTTATCTGATCCAGTTTTCTAGCTTCAAGCCAGGCATTTTCAGAGCTCTATAATTTATTAATTTCAAGTATCATAATGTCATTGGAACCTCATAAGGATGATCAATTGAAAGAGCAGAACAAATAATCTTATTTATAATTTAGAATGAAAAAAAATAGCTTTATTGAGGTCTGGGACTTATTTCAAGTTGGTAGAATCCATCTAGGAAAGACCGTATCTCAGGTCTGCCAATTCTTGGTCTACAAGCATGAAACTGCAAATCAGTCTTTCACCACTGAAATGAATCTTAGAATCAAATCTGAAAGATAGCATGCAAAACTGAAAACAAATATCTTAGGGTGAGATTACAGATGTTGTTTAAACATTTAAAAAATATTACTGCAGCCTAATTTTTACAGTTGCAAGTTTGATTATTAAATTCAATTCCCTCAAATCGTCAGTAAAATAAATTTGGTTTCAAAGAGACTGAGTACTGCCAAAAGTTACAGTAAAAACAATTGAAGAGTAAGAACTACAATCCAGGATGTTTGACTTCTAGTCCAGTTCTCTTTTTGAGACACTGGAAGTGTCTCAAGAGCAACAAATTAAAAATTTTTGGTGGTAACTATACTTTTTTTTTTTAACCCCTTCTGGAGAGAGTAATATAAATAAGACATTGTAGGAAAAATAGATATAAAGTTACTGATATAAAGATTTAGGCTGATATAAAGTTACTGATATAAAAATTTCTATTTTAAACATCCAATATATAAGTATAAAATTAGTATTTAAAGCAAGAGCTAAAAGCCATGGCCTTTTTCTCATGATTTTGCTTATTTGGAAAAAAAATGAAAACAAATATATAACTAAAGCAGTTTTTAAACTACCATTATTTAGTGAAATGCAGTCAATAACAATATAAATGCTCTAAGAAGTATCTGGAAATGTCTATAATAATGTTAAAATAGCTGCCATACTTTACATTTGACTCACATAGCTTATCATTAATATGTCAGTGCCTACTATGTGCAAGGGACCTTTCAAAGGACAAAGAAGGGGTATAAAGATGAATTCCTCCAGAGTTCAACAAAAAAGATATGTCTTTAAATTAACATGGTTTCAAGTTTGAGATAACATATCATTTGCATGGTTTCAAGTTTGAGATAACATTTAAGCTGGCTTTTAAAAATAGGCAGCATTAATGGAAGCAGGGATGAAAGGAGAAGTTAGTATGAGTTAAGGCAGCAAACGAGAAAGTTCCTAGCATATGTAGGGAACAAAGGTTACTTTCAAGGTGGAATATAGGGTGCCCTAAGAGGAAAAGTGGGAAGTAAATTGAGGCTTAAATGACAGGGATTGTAGACTTAATTCATAGGGAATGGGAATCCAAAATGAATCAAAATAAAAATATAATGATTGTTCTAGAAATACTAAGCCATAACACAAAATCTGGATGAAAACATCTAATATTCAACTATAGGCTTAAATTACTAAAAAAGAAAAAAGTTCCAAACTATTGCAGATGTTTCACATAAAACAGTAATTCTATGAAAGATTTTATAACTCATAACTTAAAAAAAATTTTTTTAACCAGGGATTTAAGAGTTAATATGGGGTTTTCACAGATTTCTAATGTGAAGAAAAATATATGTATATTTTTCTAAAGTAGAATATTAGATCTTTCTCTAAGAGTATAATGATGACCTAGGCTGGACAGAAGGGAAAAAAAAAAACTATGTAGAAGAGAAGAATGTAATAATTTTAAAAGGGGATAAAAGAGCAGGAAAGGGACAAGTGCCTTTCAAATCCTCTAGGTTGGTTTCCAAGCTGTGGGTTTTTGTTTAACTGATAAAGGTGGTAGTTGAGGGGAAGAGACAGTGGATAACAGCACATAATTTGCAGTGGCAGAGATGACTACAAGCATTCATAATATACAATGGTGGTAGTGGAAAGAGAGGGTATGGAGTTAAGCAGGTCTAAATTTCAACACTAGTCATGTGATCTTGAAAACATTTCTTAACTTCCCCATAGCAAATTTTCTTCTCCTGTAAAATTAGGATAATAAATTTTTACCTTACAGGGGAGAATTAGAAAGAGCATAGGAAAGAACTTGATTCAATAAGTGATAGCTCTTCAATAAATACCTTTCATTAAGTTCCTACCGTGTGCTTACCACTGTGATTCTGTGTCTTTTAATCTTTGGCAGACTATGGAAGAGATGAGTTGTACTTAGAAGGTGATGAAGGAGCACTTCAAAGCCTCAGTTCAAAATTATCTCCTCATTATCTCTCTCTCTCTCTCTCTCTCTCTCTCTCTCTCTCTCTCACTCTCACTCTCACACAAGTACATGTTCACTCTACCAGTTAGGAATTTTAAGTTAACAAGATACTTCAGCATCCTTTGGAGAGGCAGATCACCTTCACACTTCAACGTGATCAGTTCTTTGCTTAGTGAAAAGTTGCTGGGTTCTCTTGGAATCGGAAGAAGGCAATGTGAATTAGGAACTTCTTGAGGGTACTCAGTATGATAGGAAGGTGGAAAGGAAGATGGAGGAGGGTAAGGGAAAACATAGAGAACAAGAAACAAAGAGAAAAGAAGCCATAAATAATAAGTAGCGGTTCAAATTTGGACTTTCCCCTTGGAGGGGACGTTTCCGTTCTGTCCCATGATAATCTCTTAGAAAGATAATTGACAGTTAAGTTTAAATTGTCAAGCCTGTCAGTAGAGAAAAATGTTGAGACAAGTCTCAATCATTTCAGGAGGTTTATTTGCCAAAATTAAGGACGTGTGAGGGGAAAACAGGTCTATGCCTTTCTGGGAAGACGATTTTGAAGGTTCCCAATTTAAAAGGGAAAGGATGGAATACTGGGAAATACAGTTTTCATGTGGGAGGGTGGCAGGGGGAAAATAGTCATTCGTGCCTTTGTCTGGCTTAGTGAATCTGCATTTTTACATAAGAGAAAATAGACAAACGAGGCAGGGGAGCAATCAGATATGCATTTGTGTCAGGTGGGTAGAGGGGTGACTGCACCTCTAACATAAGCTATCCATTTACCAATGTAAATGGTGAATTCTAATAGAAACATTTTAGAGTAAAGATCTTGGAGCTCACTGGGAATCTCCTTGTGGGCAAAATATGAGAGAGGTGTGTAGCTTTTCATCTGGTAGCCATCTCATTTAGGAACCAAAAGGTAAGGCAGTTTTGCATGACCCAGTTCCCAGCCTAACTTTTCCCTTTGGCTTAATGAGTTTGGGGTTCGGAGATTTATTTTCCTTTCACAAGCCTATGGCAAACTCAGATTCCTTCCTTTCATCCTTGTTTCATCAGTTCAGGCTGGTTAGTTACCCTTTGCAATTCACACAGAGTAAGAGAAAAGACAGTGAGAAGCTACGTGTGCAGGACTCCTCTGCGCTCCGCTCCATCTAAACTCTCAAGAGAAACTTGGGTTTTTTTGTGTGTTTTTTCTATTCACCGGTCTTTTAAAGAGGCAATCCCACTTCTCCACTTCCACTTTCTAATAAAGAATTCTAAGCTACTTAAGGATTTTCTTTAAATTATGTAGCTATTCAATCACGGTCAGTCATAGTTAATAGCTTTTCCCCACTTCCCATAGCCTCAGCTTTTAGCTTAGCTCCGACAGTGATCTGGCTTAAGCTATTGCGACCCACCCCCCACCTTAAACACTTCACAGGCTGCTGGCCTGTGGAAAGCTGAGGCCGCCAACTTTGGAGCCTAGGGTTCCCAGGACATCAGGTCAAGCAACTCAGAAGTCCACCCAAGGGCAAATTCCACACATAGTTTCTTCTCTCTTGGGACCAGCGCTTTAACATCTGGGTTAATCAGATCGTGCAGACATGGTAACTAGGCGCAGAAAACAGCTGGACACGTTGCTGGGAGCCCAGACAGAATGTGACCGGTAGTTCTCAGGAACCGCTTCTAAATACCAACGCCAACAGGCTTGTAGCGTCCGAGTGCGGATAAGTGCAAAAACGAGCATAGTTTGAACCTTTGGGGTCCAAATCTGCATTTCTGAGCGCTCCTTTTACTGTTTTAAGTTTTGAAATTTGATTTACCCAGAGGGAAGAGTTGCAGAGTGGCAACCGCACCCAAGTAAAACTAATATTTGCACTCACACACTCCCTGGATTCTTCACAAACAGGGATGGAAGAAGAAACTTAGGAAGTTCAAGTTTAGCATTAAAATAAAGGACGCAACACCAAATACCCCGTGCACCTTCTTCACGGAGCTCATCCGCCCGGAGCGTCTCACAGCTTAGTGCGCCTGCGCCCGCAAGACCTGCGGCCCCGCCTCTCCGTTGGGTACGTGAGACGTGCGACTGGACGCGGGACGCGGGCTGCGCATGCGCCTTCATTACATCTGCCTGCTGCTCCGTGCTGCCTGCGGGAGCGGTGGAGAAGACGCTGTTTGCCGCTGTGTCTCCCGCGCCTGTTAGGCGCAGCACGCCCGGAAACCGAGAGAGGCGAGGATAGAGGAAGTGCTCCCCTCGGCTGTATGAGTAGAAGCAAGAGTATCTTCTTTCCGCCAGGCAAGTACCCGTAGGAACTGGGCCCCGCCCCCTTCCCGGCCTATACTCCCATCCCCTCTCCCTGGGCGGAGGTGACGACCTCCTTGGCTCCTCTGGTTCTGTCACTGAGCCCCTGCTAGCCATGAAGCTCGTGAGGAAGAACATAGAGAAGGACAATGCGGGCCAGGTGACCCTGGTCCCCGAGGAGCCTGAGGACATGTGGCACACTTACAACCTCGTGCAGGTGGGTGACAGCCTGCGCGCCTCCACCATCCGCAAGGTACAGACCGAGTCCTCCACGGGCAGTGTGGGCAGCAACCGGGTCCGCACTACCCTCACTCTCTGCGTGGAGGCCATCGACTTCGACTCTCAAGCCTGCCAGCTGCGGGTTAAGGGGACCAACATCCAAGAGAATGAGTATGTCAAGATGGGGGCTTACCACACCATCGAGCTGGAGCCCAACCGCCAGTTCACCCTGGCCAAGAAACAGTGGGACAGTGTGGTTCTAGAGCGCATCGAGCAGGCCTGTGACCCAGCTTGGAGCGCTGATGTGGCGGCTGTGGTCATGCAGGAAGGCCTCGCCCATATCTGCTTAGTCACTCCCAGCATGACCCTCACTCGGGCCAAGGTGGAGGTGAACATCCCTAGGAAAAGGAAAGGCAATTGCTCTCAGCATGACCGGGCCTTGGAGCGGTTCTATGAACAGGTGGTCCAGGCTATCCAGCGCCATATACACTTCGATGTTGTCAAGTGCGTCCTGGTGGCCAGCCCAGGATTTGTGAGGGAGCAGTTCTGCGACTACATGTTTCAACAAGCCGTGAAGACTGACAACAAACTACTCTTGGAAAACCGATCCAAATTTCTTCAGGTAAAACAATCTTACCCAGGGATAGTTAAGAATGGGCAGAGGGATTTGTATAAACTAAAGTTTTAGAATTAGGAAAAATGAGAGGAGAGAGTCTTTAACTGGGATTATCATGAGATAATGAAGTAAAAAGAGAATGTTAAATGACTAAGTAAACTTTGCCGAAGTCCTTAAACATATAAAGCCTTATTAGTGCTTTTGGCTTTAAGCCTTTGTGGGCTGATTAATGGGTGTTCTAAGAGATTATTTTGCTTAACTTTTGTAATTGTGATTCTAGGTACATGCCTCCTCCGGACACAAGTACTCCCTGAAAGAGGCCCTTTGTGACCCTACTGTAGCTAGCCGCCTTTCAGATACTAAAGCTGCTGGGGAAGTCAAAGCCTTGGATGACTTCTATAAAATGTTACAACATGAACCAGATCGAGCTTTCTATGGACTCAAGCAGGTAGAGAAGGCCAATGAAGCCATGGCAATTGACACATTACTCATCAGCGATGAGCTCTTCAGGCATCAGGATGTAGCCACACGGAGCCGGTATGTGAGGCTGGTGGACAGTGTGAAAGAGAATGCAGGCACCGTTAGGATATTCTCTAGTCTTCACGTTTCTGGGGAACAGCTCAGCCAGTTGACCGGAGTAGCTGCCATTCTCCGCTTCCCTGTTCCTGAACTCTCTGACCAAGAGGATGATTCCAGTTCTGAAGAGGATTAATGATTCAAACTTAAAATTGAGACTGTCTTGTGTCTCACTCCTAAACTGTTAGAATACATTTCTCAGCATCCTTGTGACAGAAAGCTGCAAGAGTGGCACTTTTTGATTCATACAGGGATTTCTTATGTATTTGGTTACACTAGATATTTTGTGATTGGCAAGTCATGTATTTAAACAATAAAAGGAAATAATCTCCACATACTACCATTTTTATTTATTGGGTAATTTTGTATAGGAATGAGTTATTTGTAGTACTTGGAAATAGAAAACATGTATTTAATAACAGTGCCTATACAGTATGTTGTTTGGGATAGATCATGAAATTTCACACTGCATGCTTTGAAACAGTTTTCCTTAGAAAAAGTATTTGCTATCTTATCCTCAGTTTACATCATTTATTTTAATTCTGCATGGTATTCTTGCATTGCATTTAATGATCCGTCTTCTCCTCACTGCCACACACTGCACTTTTTAAAAAATTTAAGGAGTTTTAATATTTTAAATGATTGCCGTGCAATTAGTAGACTCAAAGACAAGTTTTAAATATTTTTCTTAAAACATGTTAAACCAATCACGTTGACAGGAAATGCTTGGTTTTGTTTTGTTGTCTTTAGAATTAGTCATATTTGATTTAGACGGTCACTTAATTAGTTATTTTTAGATTTTAGCGCTTTGATCTGCTAGGGATTGTCAAAGTAACCCCTTTGAGGCATCTTTATTTTTTAAATTAGACTAAGTTAATGTGATTTGCTTTTATGTGGCTGATTAGTGGCAAAGCTGGAAGTCGTTCCCAATCTGGGATTTAGTTCTTTGCCCCAAAACATGCCATATTATTTATTTATTTGCTTGTCAAAGTTATACTTAATTCTGTATGTGGCATTAATCTGGGTTTGCACATTTTTATTGGACTATTTTAGGTATGAAGAAGCCTGTTCGAAAGTTTAAGTCACATGTCTAGTATATGGCAGTTGACTTAAACTCCAATACACTTTACTGTAATTATAGAATTGTGTAAATACCTCCAAGTTTAAAATATTCTCTTTTTTTACGTATTTTTGGTGCACATTTCTAATAGTTGAGGAAGGATCCTCAGAAATGGAATTGTTTCTTGACCTTTTGCAAACCTCAATTTAGCAAAATAATTAGAAACGATTTAATAGTGATGATTCAGTTTGTAATTGCTGGATCAGTGATGCCTACTTCAAGTAGTGATACTATGTAAACTTTTGCCTGTCTTTCCTGTGTCTGTGGGCCTTCTTCCTAGTATAACAGACTTGGGGATTTCTTGTAAACTTCCTAACTAGTCTGAACCTTTTTATTTCTTATTGGGAACTGACACTTTCCTATGCTTTAAAAATCACATATTTATATTTTTATAAATCTACCTCCTAATTTAAAAATAATTGAGATTGTCATTTCATTATAATTCTTTGAGTATCTTTAAAATACTATTCAGATATGTTACTAAATAATAGGAATATAGAAATGAAGCCACTGAAATTCTTAAACGTGGAACCTGATAATTATTTTCAGTAAGGATTTGGAGATTTTTGGACATTTATTACTCTCATAATCTATGCAGTACTGAAATGAAACCTAATAAATGTAGCCAATACATGTTAAGCCATAGGTTCTCAAAGTTAGCTACCTGTTCACCTCAACTTGAGAGCTCTTAAAACCCTAAGTGTCCAGGTCGCAGCCCAGACTAATTAAATAACCTTTTGTCCCTAGAAATGTTTTTTGCTACACAGATGATTCTAATAGGCATCAAGGCTGAGACCACTGATTCAGGTTCTCTTCAGAAGTATGGTCCATAGACCAGCAGCATCTCTGAGAGCTTGTTAAAAACTGGAATTCATGCCTCTTTTGTAGACATACTGAGACAATCTACCTGTACCAATATCTATCTCCAGGTGATTCCTGCACGTAATAAAATCTGATAAACAAAGGCAATAGGTTATTCTGTGCTCGTAAATCTCTGGGAGGAGTCACCAGTCAGACAAAGACCTTAGTATTGAAGTCTTTCAACAGTTAACTGGCCATACTCAACTATCTATAAAACCTCTATACATGTCTGTTTTTTATGTCTATGAATTATTTAATTAAATAAAATTTAACTCTTTTAAGAAATTACATTTTCTGTTATCAAAAATATAGTTCTTACTAGATCATAGGTAAAAATAGAATAATGATAGAAGCAAATTAAAAATTCAAATAATTTGACTTCTAGAAGACAAAATAAGTCTTTGGAAAGCATATACAGTAGTCTAATTCCAACTGCTACTCATTAAGTACTGGATATGTGATTAAAACCCTATCAATAATAACTCCAATGTACCTTCTCTAATGTACTGTACATTTCCATTTCCTATTATGTACTTACAAACATTTACTATGTATGCCCACTAAACTCAATGAATAAGAAGCTTGCACATTATTTCATTTTGCTATAGATACAATACATATCAAATGACAGTTAGCTACTCCTGGTCTTCCATTTATATGTTAAATGCCCAAGATTGTTGATCCTGGATTTCATTTTCATTACCCTCTTAGAAACAAGTTGGATCTTTCTTCTCCCCGATGCCGCTAGAGTAGCTTTGTAAAGCTCGTCTTTCTTTATCTTTACATAGTTTCTAACTTTTGTTTCCTTTCTCAGTCCCCCTGACTAATTCTTGTAACCTCAAATTATCTTTAACAGATATTACTAATTCTGTAATTCATATATTCTGGAACTGAAATTATCTTTGTTCCTAAACAACCAAGTTTACAGATGAAACAGTCTGTACATTAATTCCCCATAATAGCAGCTCTTATTTGGGAAAGGGTTATATATAGTACATTTAAATCATATGGTTTTTCAAGCAAGTCAAGACTAGCTATTTGTGTTTAGTATCAGAATATGTTAAATTAGAAGTTGAAGAGTTTCTAAAGTGATTCTAAAGGCTTAAGGAAAGATGAACACTTTTGCTTAGAGCCAGAGCTTAGATATGGGGCGCCCATATTTATGTTACACTAATCATTAAGAGTAATATATTCTGTCCATTTTTATAGTGCCTTCTTTGAACCAGTCACTGGGCTGGGTTTGGGGAAGACAAGCATGTAAGCAAATCATGGTTACAAGTAACTTGTACAAAGTGTGTAAAAAGATGCAGTGCTGAAAGGGGTTACTTTTAGGAGGAACTTTATAGAGCAAGGACCAGTAAGTTTGCCTAAAATGGGAAGAAGAAATATGGAGAAATTAAGTGATAAGTTGGGGAGGGGAAGTGTGCTAATCACCTAAGAACCTCCTTACCACAAGAAGGGATTTGGGTTTGACCATTATGAGAAACAATTACTAAGCTTAAGCAGGAGATTAGCATGATAAACTGCATTTGACAAATAGCACTATTTGGCAGCATCAAGGATGGACTGGAGGAGGCAAGACTGAAGGCAGGAAGACTGGTTAAAGGAAGGCATATTAGGAAGATAGGAGAGAAAAATGATAATGGCCTGATCAAAGGCATCAACAATGTTCCTTGCAATAGAAATGAACAGAAGTCAATAGGAGATACCAAGAGATGGGATCAAAAGGACATGAGTGCAGATTATTGTTAAGAGTTATGGAAAAAAGTAGAATCCAAAGGTAAATCTCAGATTTCTTGAGTGGTAGGAAAGATGATGACACAAAATGGAATTTTAAAAATTATAATTTAAAAAATGTTTTATAGGGTGATTAAATTTACTAAAAGATTTTTTCAGGATTCCCGTAGTGCAGTGATTAGCAAGCTATAGCTCATTCAGGCCAACCAGTTACTGCTACTGGACCCTGTAGCCTTGTGTTCCCTGTCCTAACATAGGATCTCTGATTTGCCTCAACTGACATTTGCTTCACTCCTCTTTGATTCTCTGAAGAACCACAAGAGTCTGAACTGCGGCATAAATTTTGCAGTTTGATTTACATCTTTCTTAATGATTTGAAAATAATTTGTTTCAAAAACTGATTTTGACCAGCTTACAATTTTACTGGTAGATCATTTTCAAGTAAATGAATTCTTCAGCAGTGAAGAGCAACTAAAGTGAAGAGTTGAAGAGCAACTTAAAAAAGGACTATTAATTCCAATAAAGTTGGTAAAATGCTCAGTTAAATAATTTTCTTCCAATTAGTGTCAGCATATTTAAACTTTGTGGTGTGATTCAGTTTATATACTCTGAGATTTAGATTTTAGAAAAGTGCTCTTCAGGATTTTCCTAATGTATTCTATGTATCTCTCTTGAATTGATTTAGAAATTTAGTGTAAAAGTGTTACTACAACATGCTTTATAAAGGAGTTAGGATGCAATTATAATATTTTTGTGAATCAGTGATGCCTTTTTTAGGAAAAGATTAAGAGGTCAAAAATGCAGCTATAGAAAATAAAACCTATAATAATAGTCTTAGATTTAACAAGGAGAACAATCAGGAGTTACTAAACATGGTCATCAAGTAGTAGGTAAACTTCACTTAGAAATAAAACAATTAACCAGATTCAGTAAAGAGATACTTATTTAGGTTAAAAATACCATTAAAAAACTTTGGGAGAAGGTATTTGTTAATGGAAATACCTTCTTCAGTGGAGATGATAAAATCTCATTCATTGTTTTTCTTATAAAGTAAGAATTAGTCCTATTAGGAAGTATGTGATATATATCACCATCTGTATTCTCATCCATATTTTATAGTATTAATTCTAAATTTCCAAGAATAATTGGTAAAATAGCCCTTTATTTTGCAGTATTAATATCTCTATTTTCAATAACATATTGTGTTGAGATAAGTAACACTGAGTAACACACTGGAATATTATGAATGTTTTAATTTAAATGAGGAGAAACGAATGAGTTTCTGTAAAAACAAACACCTTTGTGTGTAGTATTATAGTTGCATACAAATTTGAGGCTGCAGTGTTTGCTTTTTACAATGAATATTTTAACTCTATAATAATTAGCATTGATATGGGAAGGTCTTAAATTTTCAGATTACGGTTGCTAAGGACGATAACATTTATGGTAAATGGTGGGGACTTGGATATCAGTCTTCTTTTAAATTTCCTTTCTTGATTTCCTAAAATAGCCTACATTAAAAACCCCATTCTTTAGAATGTTAGTTCAATGGAAATACCAGTTTTCTATAATGTCAGAAATTTAAGGAATTTAAAGCTTATTTCTATTTGAGTGCCACATTTG